TCATTTGGTCTTCTATATCACTAATTCTCTCTTCTGCCTCATTTATCCTAGCAGTTAGAGCCTCCACTTTTGATTGCACCTCATTAAGAGCCTTTTTGATTTTGACTTGGTTAGATTTTAGTTCTTTTATTTCTCCAGAAAGGGTTTCTCTGATAACTTCCATGTATTTTTCAAGCCCAGCTAGTATCTTTAAAATCATCATTCTGAACTCTAGTTCCGACATCTTACTAATGTCCGTATTGATTAGGTCCCTGGCAGTCGGTACTACCTCTTGTTCTTTTTGTTGAGGTGATTTTTTCCATCTTGTCATTTTGTCCAGAGGAATAGATGAATGAGAGAACAAAATGCTAACAGGGTAACAATGGCCCCAGAAAATATACACTAAACAAATCAGAAAAGACCTGAAACCTGGGGAAAAGAAAGGGTAAGGAAGAAAAAAGAAGAAAAGAAAAAAAAAAAGAAAAAGAGAAACAAACAAACAAAAACAAAATAAAACAAAACAGAATATGATCTAATATCATCAGGCCAGTGCATAGATCAGTGCCACACACTAGATTTGGGGCATATTTTGATCTGCTAGAAGAAAGTGCCTCCCAAAATTTTAGAGAAAGAAAAACTTATATATGTACAAAAATAAGGGTTAATACAATGAAGGGATGGAATATGACTGTAAAGATGAAAATTATAAAAGATTTTATAAAAGGAATTGCTAAGAAGTTGGTTGAAAAAAGAAACAAATAATACATTATATGTTAAAAAAAAAAAAGAAGATAGCAGGAGGGGAAGAATGAAGGGGGGGAAATCAGAGGGGGAGACGAACCATGAGAGACTATGGACTCTGAGAAACAAACTGAGAGTTCTAGAGGGGATGGGCGTGGGAGGATGGGTTAGCCTGGTGATGGGTATTAAAGAGGGCACATTCTGCATGGAGCACTGGGTGTTACACGCAAACAATGAATCATAGAACACTACATCAAAAACTAATGATGTGATGTATGGTGATTAACATAATAATAAAAAATAATAATTAAAAAAAAGAGAAGATCCTAAAAGTTTCAGTCAAAAAACAGATCACATATGAATCAGAATGGCTTCAAACTTTTCAAGAGGAACTTTAGAAGACAGAAGATAAGGGCACAATGTCCCCAAAAGTCCCAGGAAACATTATTTACAACCCAGAATTCTGTAAGCAGTCAAAAATACCAATTAAATATGAAGTTAGACACTTTTAGACAGACAATGTTTCAAAAATTTACCTCCCAAAGTTTCTTTCTTAGGAAGCTAGAGGAGATTCTCCACCAATGGGAGAAAAAAACAAGAAAGAAGAACAAGAAATCTAAGAAACAGGGTTTCAAGTCAAGAGAAAAGCAAAAGGAATCCCCAGAATAATAAAGGGAGATCCCCAGTTGGACACCGGAAGTAGTTTCACCAGTCAGAATGGAGCAAGACAGAACCCTCCAAGAAAGTTATTTCCAAGAAAAGAAAATTTATCAAACATTCTGATAAGTTTGAATAATGTAAGAAGCAATTTAGACAAGGGATAGTTTGAAGATGAATTAGTGATGAGCACATTAAAAAAAATAAGCATAATGTGTTAAAAGACAAAATTACAATGGCAAATGTACAACACATTTAATCCCAAGGAAAACAAGAAGCTGTATGAGAAAGGAAAAAACATACTACATGACTCAACTGTGACCAGTTACAATGACATAAATCCTGGACACTGATCTAATCAAAATCATAAAACATACAGGAAGCACAAAAGGGGGTCAAGTTTGGGAGGAAAATATAGTTCAGTGTGGAGCACGGTAAGTTTGAGGCACAGTGTATTATCTAAGTGATGACAACTAGCAGGTGATTAGAGATGCAGGACCCAAGCACACAAGAGAAATGAGGGCTGGAGGTAACACTGCTGAAAGTCACTCACTGAAAAGATGAGAGTTCAAGCCATGGGACTGATGAACTGGGATGGAAGAAAGGTAACAAAACTGGTATTCAAGGTTAGATGCTTGAGGAACAGCTATATTTAAGTGGCCAGGTAGAAAAGATAAAGAAGGGGTTAGAGAGATAAAAGGAAAAAGTAGAAAACACTGATGTCAGAAGAGGAGTTTCAAAAAGTAAATATAGGTGGTTGATGAGGGAAGAAGAGCTGAATACTGGTAATACAACAAAAAGAGTAAGTCTTGGATAAAGAAAAATATCAGATTTCACACTAATCCAAAGAGCATTAACCTTTACAACAAAAAGAACAGAGGCTGAAAATAAAACTAGATTTTACATGCTTCAAAGGACTACAAGAAAGATGGGACCAGGCTTAACAAGTTTTAAATATTGAGTGAATAGTCAGGAAATGGAGGCAAGTACAGGTGGCTTAAGAAGTCTAGCAATAAAGGGAAAAACAGAATGACTATTTCAGAGGATAACATAATCCATGGAGAATCAAAGGTTTTTCACTTTTTGGTTTTAGAAAGGCCCAAGAACACGTGTAGGCTGTGGGAAAGGATCCCAAAGAGAAGAAAAGCGAAAGATACAAAAAGAAAGAAAAAATAATCAGTGAAGCAAAGTGTGCAGGGGAAGAAGAAAAAAAGGAACAGTGGGCATAAGTAGAGAACTTTCTGGGAACTGAGATGAGAAAAAAGAAAGGAAATTGGGATTTTTATGGCAATTTTTGAGGAGACTTACAGAAGAGAACTCTTAATGGGTGGTGTCAACCCTCTGAATAAGTAGGTATGAGGTAAGGTAATCTCCAGAGAATGAAACGGATTCAGTGACAAGATTGGCGGCTTAAGAACAACAGCATAAGTCTGGAATTGGAACTATGATGAATACAGCAAATCAATTAGGAATGAACGGACCATAACTTGGCAGCAAGGAAAGCCAGTTGAACTGCACACCTTAAATTTATAAAATGGATAAACAGTCTGGTTTCACAAATGTCTTGAACATTAAGCAACCTAATAATAATGGAATAATGCTAAGGAAAATGGAATTTTGCCAGAACTTGGAATTAGCAACAGTTGTAAGATGGAAAAACTTGACTTGAGATATAAAATGCCTTCTTCTGAAGTCATTCACTTAATAGAAAAGAAGAAATAATAGGTTCATATAACTGAAAGATTGTCTCATAAAAGGGTTGTCTTAACCCATCCAAGGGTATTCTGAAAAGCCTCCTCTGATATGGATTGTCCTAAAGGAAGAGAAGGTTATTTAGTATTTGCAGATAACATGTCATAGAAGTCAAAATCTGTTTACCTGAATATTCTACCTAAGAATGCTCCCAACATCTACTAACAGCTAGAAAATTCTTTAAGTAGAATTCTACCCAGAAAGGATTACTAGATGCCCTGAAGTAATTTATACAAAAACAAGTTATCTTCAGTCAGCAAAGAGAAATCAAAGATTCAACCAGAGGATCAGCATCAGAGATTTCACCTTCCTGTAACTGAGGAGTTACCTATCAACATTAACAAATCACCTTCTCTAGTGATTCTAACAAACAAAATAGTGCCTGGGAGGGTTCAAGTATTTCCCTGGAAAAAATATATGTCAAGAAAATTTATTGAGGGGCGCCTGGGTGGCTCAGTCGTTAAGCATCTGCCTTCGGCTCAGGTCATGATCCCAGGATACTGGGATCGAGCTCCACATTGGGCTCCCTGCTTCACAGGAAGCCTGCTTCTCCCTCTCCCACTCCCCGTTTGTGTTCCTGCTCTCCCTCTCTGTCAAATAAATAAATATTAAAAAAAAAAATTTATTGAGTACATGTTTTGAGAAGAATTCTGTAGTATGAACCTGAGAGTACAGGAAGATGCAAGGTCTCTGCATATCATAAATCTATATTCAATCTTATCAAAGAAAAGAAGACATGAAAATGACTGAACTGAACAGCACATTCACAAGTGGAAATGAGAAGATAAACTGAACAGTTTCTATCAATATATAGAGATATAGATAGAAGGAGGGATGTATTCAGAACCAGATAGATGGATGTGGTAAGAGAACACTTTCTGAAGAAGGCTTTGCATAAAGGTTTGAGGGTCATTAAAAAATACAGGCAAGCAAATTGGAGGCCAAAAATCCCAATAAAGACTAATGAAGTATATACAGGAACAGTAGCTGACAAATTATCTTGCCTAGAATAAACAGTACTAAGGGGGCTAGAAGAAACAAACCGGACAGGAACTGAGGGGTAGCAGAATGATGGAAGGTAAAGAGCCTTACAGCTGTACCTGATGAGCCTGGGTTTATCACAATTTATAATGTGGTACTTTTGTGTCCCAGCTGAAAGTGGCAAGATGAAAATAGAGGTAGAGAGTTATTCTAGCAGTTCTGTACCAGGATTAGGAGAGATGAAGAACACATCTTAGAAAGCTGCTATCAAACATAAGGATATGACAGCATGAACCACAGTAAATACTATGGAATGGGAGGGGAAAAGGTAGACCGAAAGACTAGGTCAAAGATGGATTAGACTTAAGACCAAAGAAAGAAAGGAGAATCAATGAAGAGGAGACTAGAATGATGGTAGAGAAAGGAATAATAAAGAAAGTAGGATTAGGATTTTATTTGAGAAGGTGAAAATTTAAAGAATTTAGTTTTTTTAGGACTATAAATTTCAGGCGCCTGAATATACTTTATTTCCTAGTTCTGAGTTTTTCCTGCACAGGACATCAGGAGAAACAGGAAAATATAAAATAAATGTAAGAATAAAGAATAAATAAAAGCAGGGCCTTTAAAATTTGACCCCACAAATCTCAAAATTTTATGGAGCCATAAATACATGCTTAAAAATTAAGAATTCAAACTATATGAACTTTAAAGCATAAGGCAGTAAACCATTCATAAACAAGCATTATAACAAGCAATTACAGTTATATTAAATATGCTCCTGGAAGTTGAAAGAAAAAGCTCTTCCTGTAGAAATGAGAAGAGAAACCTATTTCTATAACCACATCATAAAACCACAAAATTACAACCAATTTAAATAAACAAAAGTGTACCTTTAATGTTCCATCAGCTGAACAACTAGCCAAAAGCTTATCATCTGGTGAAAATCTGCAGTGATTGACTGAATTTGTGTGGCCAAACATGGTATTTCGACATTCTTTTTGATTCAAATCCCAGAGCTATTTGAGAAAGATAAAAAGATAACTAAAAAACTAGTACTGAATACGGAAAAGTTAGAAATCTCGTAACATTCTTCCTTCACTCCATTTAAGCTTTTTCAATTACAGAAAAATGTTCAATCATATTAATGAAAAGGTGTCAAACACAAAGGGGAACTTGTGATTACCAAGTAATGGGGCAGCCCTTAGATCAACACCTAATCTATTAAGGGACAAAAAGCTTACCTAGGCTTTTAGTCTGAGCACTAAGTAACTAAATAATTACTGCTTATTTTTTTTTAAAGATTTTATTTATTTATTTATTAGAGAGAGAGAGAGAGAAACAGCATGAGAGGGGAGAGGGTCAGAGGGAGAAGCAGGCTCCCCGCTGAGCCGGGAGCCCGATGTGGGACTCGATCGCAGGACTCCGGGACCATGACCTGAGCCGAAGGCAGTCGCTTAACCAACTGAGCCACCCAGGCGCCCCAATTACTGCTTATTTTAACAAAGTAGTTTGGAATCATTATCATTTTATTCAGCTCTCCAATAAGTAAATGCTCCCAAATTTTTTAGATGCTAGGTTACCCAGTCATTTCTAAGATTTCCCAATGCAAATCTTGAGTCTAGTTACTAAGCTAAAAATCTATTAATGCTCTAAAAAGTGACTTGAAAAATACAAAGATAGCAAGGATAGATATAAATACATTTGACAGGAAATATAAGAGGCTTGAAGAGCAAGTTAACACCTCTAGGAAGCAACTAACCAAATCCAGAATCCACAGGACAAATGACTCAATTTCTCTAAGGAATCAAAAGAGGCAGAGGGGAAGGAGAACTTCTCCAGAATAAAAGACATTTAAGAGACGTAACAACCAAATGTCACCTGAAATTTGTATTCTGTTTCCAACAAATCTATGGTAGAAAGTTATGGTTTTTTGGGGGGCACCTAGGGGCTCAGTTGTTTAAGCGTCTGCCTTTGGCTCATGTCATGATCCCAGGGTCTTGGGATTGAGCCCCACCATCATGCTCCCTGATCAGTGGGGAGACTGCTTCTCTCTCGCACTCTGCCCTGCCCCCTGCTTGTGCTCTCTCGCATGCTCTCTCAAATAAATAAAATAAAAAATCTTAAAAAAAAAAAAGATATGTTTTTTTAAGAATGATGGGGAAGGGGAACCTGGCTAGGTCAGTCAGAGGAGTGTGTGACTCTTGTTCTTGGGGTCGCAAGTTCAAGCCCCATGTTAGGTATAGAGATTACTAAAAATAAATAAACTTAAGAACAATGGGGAAAAGTGAACATGGACCAGATAGATCACAAAACTATTATTTATTATGTTAGGTGTGATAATGGCATGGTACTTAGGTTTAAGACCTCAAATATGCAAGCTGAAGTATTTTGGGCGCAATGACATGATATCTGCGATTTGTGCCAACATGCTCCAGCCAAAAAAAAAAGGGAGGGGGAGAATAAAATAAGATTGGCAAAATATTAATAATAGTGAGAGCTAGACAATGGATACCACAAGGGTTTATTACTGTACTCTCTCCTTTTGGGTATGTTTGAAAAGTGAATAAAATATAAATAAAAAGGGCTATAGTCCTCTCTGGGGATTTATGCTAACTATATTAAACACGGAAGGAGAAATCATCCATCCCCAAAATTAATATTGACAAAAATCCTTTGGAAATGACCAGTGAGGTAAGTCCTATTCTTCATGTCCATCTCCATCTTCGACTTCTTTATCCTAGTCCTAGGTAAATTCAGTTTTTCAGATAAGGCAAGTCACATGGGGGCAACTTCAGATTTTCGTATTTTCATTGCCTTCTCTCAGTTCAAGAGTCACAAGAAGTGAATTCTAATTGTCCTCATGGTAATACAGGTGTGGTATGGCAGATTTTAAAGTAAAACTTGTCCTCAGTTAAAACTGTTGACTAAACAATAGAACCCATAGATCTCTCTTTGGTCTTATATCCTAGAGCTTTTTGTCTATAATTAAAATGAGGAAACATAAACTTCTTCACCCTACAAAATGTTAAAAAGAAACATCAAAAATTAATCATAAAATAATACAGAAGTCTTAGTTTTTTAGAGGTGGATTTATTCAATAAGGTAAAGCATATCTGAGTAAAAATGAGCTATGATTATAAGACTACATTAGTCTGTTATTTTAATCCAATCCAGTGTTTTCAAATTGTGCTATGCAGGCCCCTAAGGATTCCAAAACATGTCTGAAAGGGACTACTGGGGGAAATAAGAGAGGGAACAAGAGTAGAAAAGCAAGCTCAAGGGCGCCTGGGTGGCTTAGTCAGTTAAGTGTCTGACATCCGCTAAGGTCATGATCTCAGGGTCCTGGGACAAAACCCCACATCGGGCTCCTCACTCAGCAGCTGAGCTTCTCCCTCTTCCTCTGTCCTCCCTCCCACCCCCGCTCAAGCGCGCACACCCACACACACTCTCTCTTTCAAATAAATAAATAACGTCTTCAAAAAAAAAACAAAAACGCAAGACTTCAACCAGAGCAATGAGCTTTGTCTGTTACACACTGAGCTTCTATGTAAGTTTTCTTTTGGAGGAAAAAAAAAAAAAAGTTTCAGCTTCTTGAACTGAAGGGGAGAGGGGAGACAATTTTCAATATTTTCTGAAGTTTTTAAAAATACTGTATTTAAAAAAAAATACTGTATTTAAATGTCAAACACAGAGTCTATGAGGTTTTCCAAACTGAAATGGTTTGCCCAAACCTCCCAAAAATATAATGTCCCTTTGCAAAGATGGTGTGACATTAAAAAAGACAGGGTAGAAACCAAACCAAAAAACAATCCAAAGGAAGTTAGTGAATCTTTCTGGACCCCCAGAAAATTTAATCTAGCTATCTTCAATATGCCATTTAAGAGGAAAAAAAGATAAAATCCTTTATAATTTGTAACTATAAAGCATTATCAAATATATATAAAATGCACATCTGCTTTTAGTTTCTTTTTTTTTCTATCAGCACCTTTTTTCCTTCCTCCTTCTAATAACAACCTCTCTTCTGAATCAAGCCCCACTTATAATTCAAATAGAGCTGACCTCACTTCATTTGTCCCATTTCTACATGGCTGAACTTGTAATCTTTAACCAATTCAAGGATTCCATATCCTATTGGACCACTAGGGTTATTTAACAATGAGCATATAAGCCAAACCAGGTCAAATAGTCTTCTTTAAAATTAAATCTATGGGACCTAGGAAAGAGTAAGTTTCTCTTCCTCTGTGACTATAAGCTGTAAGACCCACGTAAGCCTGTAACTGAGAACAGCCATATCTCCTGCCACACAGAAAGAACACGCCTGAACCAACAAAGAGAGAAACAAAATCTAAAAATGGAGGGGGGATTAGACTCCAAGAATGTAATTTAAGCATCTGGAATCAGTTATGCCTAAAGCCATGGTCCCGTTAGACTTTTCAGTTACATGAACCAGTAATTTCTTTTTTTTTGTTTTTTTTTGGCTTAGCTAGTATGGAAGTTCCTATCACTGCAACCAAAAGAGCCCTGAACAATACAAGAGAAAATCAAAAAAGATGTTCTGATGCACCTATCAAATTTGTGCACGTAATTCTCATTATCCACACTTACTTTGAGGAAGCAGTCACTTGACGCAGTGGCTAAGAGAAGGTAATGACTGTTGTTGGTAAAGTGGCAGCAGTTGACTTGCTCTGAGTGCTCATCATAGATATGTATTAGTTCCCCCGTCAGAGAATTCCAGATCTAAAGAGAATAGAGAAAATAAAATTTACAACTACCCCTTACTTTCAAAGGGAGAACAGAAGAGCAAACAAATGTGAGCTGTTTTGTGGCAGATTTTCCTAGTCAGACATAATACCCCCCTTCTCTAAAACATGTCTGTATTTTTCCAGGATGTCTTTTTAAAAATTACAAGTCTACACGTGTGCCTTTCTATAGCACAATTAGAATCCCAAGAAAACATTACATTCTTCAAGGGCAAGACTGCACATGTTCACACGAATGACAGTAGGCAGAGAAGTGCTATAAAAGGAATGGAATAATGGACTTTAGATCAGGAGGATTAAGTCCAAGACCTGGCTCTACCATTTATAATTTGTGTGTCCATCATCAAGTCTTTAATTTATCTGCATCATAGTTCCCTCCTCTGTAAAATGAGGATACTTATACCTGCCCTGTGTACACAATTCAAATGAGATAAAGGACATGTGCTGCTGACTTCAAGGTATCAATAAAAAGTAAAGGCAGATGGATCAGTGAAAAAAATTAAGGCTTTAGATTCTGAGGGAAACCTAGCTTTGAACCCTGGCTCCATTAGTTATCCGTTAATGTGAGCTTGGGCAAATGACTTCATCTCTGTACCTATTTTCTCATCTGCAAAATGGGATCAATACTTACTCTGCAAGTTGTAGTGAGAAATTGATAATGTAATATAACAAAGTGTGTAGTATAAAGCCTCACAGTGTTAAATTCCCAAGCAGAAGTAATCATCATTCTAGTTACTATGTAAGACAACAAAGCAGTGTATTCTAACAATAAACAAAAGAAATAAATTACCTAGTCTTCACTGGGCTCTGAACTTTTTAGAGGTATTAATGTCCCTCTCATAGCATTTTCTTTTTTTTTTTTTTAATTTTTAAGTAAGCTCTATTCCCATTATGGGGCTCAAACTCATGACCCCAAGATGAAGCATCATATGCTCTACCATCTGAGCCAGCCAGGTGTCCCGCATTTTTTGTCTTATCAAAGCACACACCAGAGGTCCAAAGAGTTTAAGTTCTTTAATAGACATTTGTTCTATATTTTGAGTACTTAGAATAGTACTCTTGTTCTATATTTTGAGTACTTAGAAAACAGAAACTCAGAGTTATCTCCTTTTATTCCACATAGCTCTTGACTTTGGAACTGTGCAAGACTGGCGAACTCCAAGCCTGACTCAGTAGTGGCTATGGAATTAATTAACTGGTTGGTTGTAAAGCCACCTAGACAGTCCAATCTATCAAGAAGTAGACTTTTCCAAGGTCTTACTTTGTCTGGACACTCCAAAGTCTTCTTCAAGTGAGTGCAGACCCCAGGAAACTTCCAAGCCAATTTTCTTGCTCCCAGGTCCACTAAGACCCACCCCATCTAGCCAGTTTCAACAGTCCGTCTGTCCGTCCGTCCTTCCTTTCTTCCTCCCTCCCTCTTTCCTTTCTCCCTTTCTTCCCCTCTCCCTTTCTTTCTTCCCCTCTCCCTCTCCTCTCTATTTATCTATCTACCCACCTACCTACCTATCTACCTATCTACCTATCTATTTATTTGCAGTACTCCCACCAAGTCAGGATCCATCTCTTTTTAAAAAGCCTGAAGCGAGAGGCACCTGGCTGGTTCAGTCTGTTGGGCATCCAACTCTTTGATTTCGGCTCAAGTTATGGTCCCAGGGTCATGAGATTGAGGCCGGTGTCCTCACCCAGTGTGGAGCCTGCTTGGGATTCTCTGTCTCCCTTTCCTTTCTCCCCGCCACCCCGCTCCCACATGTGCACACTCTCTTAAAAAAAAAAAAAAAAAAAAAAAAAAAGCCTAAAGTGAGGTGTTTGGGGTGCCTGAGTGGCTCAGTTGGTTAAGCGTCCAACTCTTGATTTCAGCTCAGGATCATGAGATGAACACGGTGGCATCAGGCTCCACACTGTGTGAAGCCTGCTTAAGATTCTCTCTCTCCCTCTGCCCCTCCCCCACCCAACCCTCCCCACTCCGCACTCCCTCTCTAAAAGAAAAAAATCTGGGGTGCACACTTCACAAATTATGTATTTTACAACAGGAATCCAATCTCAGTAATTTTGTGCAGCAACACTTCCAATCACATTGCCCTCAAAGATTCCAACTGATATTTTATCACACAGACTTATCAATAATAAACAGGAGGCAAATTCATTAATTTGTAATTGTTTCTCCCAGCTGTCTGGTAAATATCTCAGGCTGAGAAACCTAGGCATTTTTGCTGGTGCTTAAAAATAGACAGTGTTAATTTGCAAGTGGATAAAAACTGGTTTGCCTCAAGTCTGTAGATTAACAGGCAAGAGTCCTTTACCCCTACTTACCCTAGTCCCTCCACTATGGAAAAAGAAAATGAATTCTATGGTAATTACAACTCAAGAGAAAAATATTTCCCTACCTTCACTTTTTTATCCACTGAGCAGGTTGCTATTAATCTGTCATCTGCAGAGAATGTACAACAAAGCACTTCATCCTCATGAGCCTTGATTTCTAGCAGTTTCTCTCCTGTTTCAGCTTTGAACACCTGCACAAGCAACAATAAAATCTTTTTACCATAAACCAATGGCCACCATTCAATAAAAATCTTTCTTTAAAAGACCTTAATCCATAGTATTTTGCAATAGTAATGAACCTTGGCAAAACCACTCTAAAAAGCAGAATATCTGTCAGAGTTTATATGTCTTAACACAGAGAACTATCCCTTATTAAATGACTGTAATATCAATAAAAAGAGCTGGCAGAGTACAGCTTCAGTTCTTGAGATTAGTTTGGCAAATTCTTTTTTTCTTCTTTTTTTTTTTTTTTTAGTTTGGCAAATTCTCAGAAAACATTTCATTCAATATGTTTTCTTTCTTTCTTTCTTTCTGGGGCTCAAAACCCAAAATTAATAAAATTAGTAATAAAGCACACATATAAAAATAAGGTTTACAGTCATAATTTTGCAAAGACTAAACCTAATCTAAATATCAGTTTTAACTAATCTGATCCCGTTTCCTTCAAAATCAAAAAGCAGAGCACAAATTTAAAGAAAAGCACTCAGGGCGCCTGGGTGGCTCAGTTGGTTAAGCGACTGCCTTCGGCTCAGGTCATGATCCCAGGGTCCTGGGATCGAGTCCCACATCGGGCTCCCGGCTCAGCAGGAAGCCTGCTTCTCCCTCTCCCACTCCCCCTGCTTGTGTTCCTGCTCTCGCTGTCTCTGTCTCTGTCAAATAAATGAATAAAATCTTTAAAAAAAAAAAAAAAAAAAAAAAAAAAAAAGAAAAGCACTCATTCATGTATCCCAAAAACAAATGAGAACTTAAATTCCTTCAAGCACCTTAGGAAATAATCTAGTCTGATTCCTGTTTATAGTCAGAATCTGTGTCTGAACCTGTGATAAGGTAGGTATTTTACCTAATCACTGTTTTCTAATCAGAGCCCTGTGCACTGTGATATGGAGTCCTTATGTCTTTTAACAATTTGCATTTCCTCATTACTCTTAGAGGGCTCATGGATGACAGTAACGGATTTGCTAAGGTAAAAGGTACTTTTATGTCACTTGGCAACTTTAAAATTATGAAAACACACAACCATGTCTTCTAAATTTCCAGAGACAGCTTTTATAAAATGTTCAAGAGATTTGGATTTCTCTAATTCTAATGTGCAATTTTCTTCAATTCTAGGATTTAAATATATTCTAATATGTACAGTATTCGGTACATGCCTCTTTCAATTTTTCTCAAGAGATATGTTTTACCTGTAGGGTTTTATCAACTCCACAAGAAGCTATTCTTTGACCATCCTCAGAAAAGCAAGCATGGTAAACAGCATCTGTATGGGGGCGGACAACTAAGCGGGAAAGATTCTTGATGTTTTTTTTGTTTCTACATACAAGGAGAAAATGAACAGAAACCCAGTAAGTAATTTTTTTTTCAGTAATAAAGTAAACTGTCTGTTAACACTGTTGTGTTGCCAAAAATACAAAATTCTTAAAATTAAGTTACCAGCATGTAAATGACAGCATAGATCTCCTGAAGGAAAAAAGTATTACGAAAGTGGCTTTTAAGAGAAATGCTACCCTATATAAAGCAACCTGTCAGGTGCTGCAAATGTCAGAGTTGGGAGAAATCTAATTAATCAAACACATGTTGCTTTCTATTTTCCTTTGATATATTAATGATAACATATGCAGAGAAATCATTATGTAAGGATACCCTCAAAAAAATCTCCATTGTTTTTAAAGGGAAAGAAGCCAGGGCACCTGAGTGGCTCAATCAGTTAAGCAACCCGACCCTTGACTTCAGCTCAGGTCATGATCTCAGGGTTGTGAGACTGAACCCAGCATAGGGCTCCACGCTGGCCATGGAGTCTGCTTGAGATTCTCTCTCTCCTTCTGCCCCTCCTCTCTCTCTCTAAAAAAATTAAAAATTTTAAAAAATAAATAAAAGGAAAGAAGCCATAGCAAAATGAAGCTCATTTCCTAACTAAAGTATGACACTACACCCACCATTAACAATGATGTACTTTTTTTTTTTTTTAAGATATTATTTATTTGAGGAGCGCCTGGGTGGCACAGTCGTTAAGCATCTGCCTTCAGCTCAGGTCATAGTCCCAGGGTCCTGATATCGAGCCCCACATTGGGCTCCCTGCTCAGCGGGAGTCCTGTTTCTCCCTCTCCACTCCCTCTGCTTGTGTTCCCCCTCTCACTGTGTCTCTCTCTGTCAAATAAAATAAATAAAATCTTAAAAAAAAAAAGAGAGAGAAGTACCAGTCTTCTGCATTAAAAAAAAAAAAAAGATATTATTTATTTGAGAGAAAGAGAAAGAAGGAGAGAGCGAACGAGCACACGAGCAGGGAGGGGGCAGATGGAGAGGGAGAAGTAGGCTCCCCACTGAGCAGGGAGCCTGAGGCAATTCAAGGCTCGATCCCAGGACCCTGGGATCATGACCTGAGCTGAAGGCAGACGCTTAACCAACTGAACCACCTAGGTGCCCCACGATGATGTACTTTAAATTTGCTCTTCTCTAACCACAATTATTCATAGAGGAGAAAAAGAAAGCAATATCATTTTCTTTGTAACTATTCCACTAGTGCAGTTAATATATTATTTCTTATGGGTTAAAGGGGTAAAGTATTGGAACAGTGTCAGAATTTCATATACAGACACCCCAGTCACTTTGAGTACAAATAAATATGTTAAATGGCATTGTACTTATTTTAGGAGTCAGATAAAGAGCAAACCTACTTCTACTACTTATTAGGTGTGTAAACTTAGGCAAATTATTGAACCTAATAAGTTTCCATTTCCTCATATGTACAACAGGAGTAATGATACCTGCTCTAAACACTGCCTGGCACATAAGGATGCCACTGTTACTATTCTTTAAAAAAATTAACCACACATCTACTCCTGAAACCAGTATTACACTATATGTTAACTAACTAGAATTTTTTTTAAAAGATTTTATTTATTTATTTGACAGAGAGAGACACAGCGAGAGAGGAAACACAAGCAGGGGAGTGGGAGAGGGAGAAGCAGCCCTCCCGCTGAGCAGGGAGCCCCATGCGGGGCTCGATCCCAGGACCTTGGGATCACGAGCCAAAGACAGACACCTAACGACTGAGCCACCCAGGTGCCCCTAACTAACTAGAATTTAAATAAAAACTTTAAAAAAATTAACCACACACAAGATGGACCAAATGAAAAAAGGGAACATAAAAGGTAAATCAGACTTAGATCTTGCCTAGAAAGTATTATAATTTATTAGAAGCAAAGAAACAAACACTATATGAACTAAGGTGATGAGAACCTAGAAGAAAACCAGGTAAATTACTAGCAAAGATTAGAAGATTAGGCTAAAAAAATACTTTCTTTCCCTTTGTTCTAACTACTCAATTCCCCAAAGGTCAGAAAGTGACTGTTGCAAAGATGGGCATATAACAGACGGCCAAAAAGTATTAAAGAAATAACAAATGAATGTATGAACACAAAATTTCTTTGAAAGCTAAAATTCAGTTAAATTTAAGCTTATACCAATCTAAACATTTCTATAGGAAAAAAAAATCTTTCTAGTACTAAAGTAAAGCATTCTTTGAATATGACCTGGTCAAACCCAGTTAAAAGATTCAGCTCACAGAATGACTAAACATTCTGTGAGAGAACATCACAGGCTGAAACGCAGCTGATGCAATGGGAAGAAAAAAAAAAGCAAGAAAAAGTGAAAAATCAAATTCAACAAGTCATAAGAGAACAAGAACTAAACCTATACCCATCTGATAATCAGATTAACTCTATTTCAACCACTAACCAAAACATCAATTCAGTTGGATCTTCCACAAATTTCTTTTGCATACCAACTATATGGACCAGGAAAAACGCTAAATGCTATTCTTAATAACTAATATTTATTGAGGACCTTCTGTGAACTAGGTACTGTTCTAAGCACTCTATGTGTGTGTGTATATGTTTGTATACACACATACTTATTTAATCTCAATAATGCTATGAAAGAGCACTATTAGGTGAGAGAAGTTGAATAACTTTCCCTGGTTATAAATAACCAATAAAGCAGAGCTGGGTTTCAAGTCCAGGCAGTCTAGAGCCAAAGTCTATTAATTTTAACCTCCAAACTATTCTAAACTACAGAATGTATAGACTAGTAACAGAAAAATAGGCCATCACCATAAAGTGAAACAAATGTTACAATATAAAGTGAGCAAGTATTCTAGAATACAGACAGGTTTACCTTAGCTTCAAGGAATTTGGGAAATCACCTACGGCAACCTATTTGGAAAGAGGGCCCGGGACTAATAAATATTGCAGATATCAACCTAGAGTTCAATTCAGATATAAATTACACATATGAAAAGACAACCACTCATGTTCATTATTTCCAGTTGTAAGAGAAGCATGGCATATAGAAGGCACACGGAACATCAAGCTCAACAGACCCAGGAGTTAAATTCCAGTCAACAAGCTACATAAGCTTAGTCAAGTCTCAACATCTCTGTGCCTCAATTTTTTCATTTGTAAAATAGAGCAAATAATATTTACCTTCTAAGGTTTGAAGGTAAAATGAGTAATGTGCGCATATCGTATATAACAGACATTAAAAAGATGAGTTAACCCTCTTTTTCTAATTGATAAGATTAAGACAAGAGCAAAACTGAATAGACTCTTTTAGGAGTTAGAACAATCAAAATTCAGTGGAAGTTTAATGAGGGCTATCTGAAAGGCGAAGGGCTAATCACTATATATCCAATATCTCATTTCAATCTTCATAAAAATAATATACCTCAAAGAATTGCTATCTCTATTTTATATACGAAAAAAAGAGCAACCTGTAATTTGTTCAAAATCACAGAACTATCAGGTTTCAGAAATGAGACTTAAGGGCGCCTGGGTGGCTCAGTCGGTTAAGCCACTGCCTCCGGCTCAGGTCATGATCCTGGAGTCCCTGGATCGAGTCCCGCATCGGGCTCCCTGCTCGGCGGGGAGTCTGCTTCTCCCTCTGACCCTCCCCCCCTCATGCTCTCTCTCTCATTCTCTAATAAATAAATAAAATCTTAAAAAAAAAAAAAAGAAATGAGACTTAAATCAATGTTTGTGGCTTCAAAGCCCATGTTCTTTGCTAGTAAACTATGTTACAATAAGTAAACCACTTGGTATTATTTAGTATGACTGGTCAAAATGCCTACAGGCAAGCATCTATTTCTATGGACTCTTTGAAAATATGTATTTCTCCTATGCTCACTTCTCCAGAACTTTTCAATAAGTAAGAATGCTTATTAAAAGTTCCAGCCCTTTACAAAGTAGTTAAATCTTCCTGGAGTGAACTTATTCACTACCTGAAAAATAATGACACAGTTAGCACTCCACTCCCTTTGGTTTCTTTCCTAATCTACTTACATCCACTCCAGGTACAGAACTCCATGATCGACCTCCTGCTTGGCCTGCAGCTTAGCTTGCTGATAAACTTCTGAAGTTTCTGGTTCACAGAGACCCAGCTGTACAATATTAGGAAATGGCTGTCGTCCAAGAAGATGTCCATTTAAAGATAAAAATTCCTGGAAATTTTCACAGACTGCACAATCCTATGAACAAACTGAAATCTCTTAGAAATATAACTAGACTCAAGATCTGGCATTTTTCTGTTTCTGTGATCTTGTCACTTTAAAGGCTTAAATGAGATATTCTCTACATGAGCTAAAATTAAACAGCCAACCATTAGGTAACAAATATATGGTGACCCTCTCCAGATTTTTAAACATAGTGTAAAAATCTCATTATCCAAGTATTACTTTCTTAATACATTTTTGTGTAAAAAACAAAAAACAAAACAAAAAAACCCAGTGGACACTTTACTTCCTCAACTTTCAAACCTCAATCCCATCTACATTCCCAGTAGGCTAGGAAGCAAAATAATTAGAATAATCAAGGGTCAAAATGAGGAAATTATCTCTCTTTGTCCCTTTTATTCTGCTCATCCCCACTATTAAACCTAGAATTAAATGACAATAAGATGCCCTTTAAGAACTTATTTTTCATACTAAGCGTACCTTTTCATCCAATATATGCCTGTATTCCACAAATTCATGAATCAGATGAGCAGGGCCTACGAGTTCAGTTTTTGCTTTAATCCAATCCAGGGAAAACATTAAAGTACAAAGTTCCTTTAAAAAAAAAAAAGTAAGATGAGGATACTGTTAAAGACATCAAAGAATTTTAACTCTACCATCCTTATCTTTTTTTTTTAAATAAAGATTTTATTTATTTGAAAGAGAGAGTGATCGAGAGAGAGAGAGAGAAAGAGCACAAGCCAGGGAGTGGGGCAGAGGGAGAAGCAGACTCAGCAGGGAGCCTGACATGGGGCTCAATCCCAGAACCGTGGGATCATGACCTGAGCCAAAGGCAGACACTTAACCGACTGAGCCACCCAGGAGCCCCTACCATCCTTATCCTAACACCACTGAAAGAAACGTAGCAGATAACTTAGAATTTAAGGACAGAAAGGAAGCTATTTTAAAAGGAACCAAATAAACATAAAATGGACCACACAACTTAAATCAAAATAAATTTTAGCTGGATTAAACACTTAAATATAAAATAGAAAACCTCAAAAAATTCTATAGGATACAGGCAAATATTTTTGTAACCCTAGGATGAAGGAAATGTTTGTAAACATGACACCAAAAGTACAAAAAAAAAAAAAAAAGAGAGAGAGAGAAATGTGAACTTAACTACCTAAAAACTCAAAAACCTTCAATATAGTTGAAAACAATATAAATAAAACTTGACAAAAAATAAAAATATTTATTTACAACACATATGATAGATGAGGGCTTAATATTCTTTTTTTTATAGAAAAATTCTAATAAGGGGCGCCTGGGTGGCTCAGTCGGTTGAGCAGCTGCCTTCGGTTCAAGTCATGATCTCAGGGTCCTGGGATTTAGTCCCACATCGAGCTCCCTGCTTCTCCCTCTACCTCTGCTGCTCCCCCTGCTTGTGTTTTCTCTCTCTCTGTCAAATAAATAAATAAAATCTTTAAAAAAAAAAAAAGAGTACTGCAGAGGAAGCCATGTTTTCAAAAACAAAAAAAAAGAAAATTCTAATAAAATAAGAGAAACACCTCAACAAAAAAAATAGGTAAAAGCAATGTAGGAGACTCAATGCCAGAATAAAAGGTATAAATGGCCAAAAACCTCACCAGTAATCTAAATGAAACAACAAAGATTCAGCATGTTTTAATATCAGATTTCTAGGGACACCTGGCTGGCTCAGTCGGTTAAGCGTCTGCCTTCGACTCAGGTCATGATCCCAGAGTCCTAGGATCAAGTCCCACATCGGGCTCCTTGCTCAGCAGAAAACCTGCTTCTCCCTCTGCCTGCCACTCCCCCTGCTTGTGCGAACTCTCTCTCTCTGACAAAGTAAATAAAATCTTAAAAAAAAAAAATCAGATTTTTAAAGACTAAAAGCAGTAATAAGAATATTAGCTGGAGGGGCGCCTGGGTGGCTCAGTCGTTAAGCGTCTGCCTTCGGCTCAGGTCATGATCCCAGGGTCCTGGGATCGAGTCCCACATCAGGCTCCCTGCTCTGCAAGAAGCCTGCTTCTCCCTCTCCCATTCCCCCTGCTTGTGTTCCCGCTCTCGCTGTGTCTCTCTCTGTCAAATAAATAAATAAAAATCTTTAAAAAAAAAAAAAAAAGAATATTAGCTGGAGTCAGAGGAAATGAACACTCTCACATACTGTTGATAGTGCTGTAACTCAAGAGCACCTTTCTGGAGGACAGTCTGGTAATCTGTATTAAAATTCTAACTACACATACCATTTGACCCAGAAATTACACTTAAAAAATGTGTCCTAAGAAAATAATCAGACAAGTGTGCTGAAGCAATCTAACTGCCCATAAGCCTCAATATACAATGAAATAGTAATGCAGCTTCAAAAATTTTTTCACTCTATATAAACTGACATAAAAAGAGGACCATGAAATACAGTTAACTGGGGGAGAAAAAGGATATAAGACTATTTCTATTATGATCCTATTTTGGGCTTAAAGAACAAGTATGTGGGGGTGCCTGGGTGGCTCAGTCAGTTCAGTCTCTGACTCCTGATTTCGGCTGAGGTATTGATTTCGGGGTTGTGGGATCGAGCCCTACATCGGGCTCTGCACTGGGCATGGAGCCTGCTTGGGATTCTCTCCCTCTGAGCCTCCCCCTGCTCACACATGCACTCTCTCCCTAAAAAAATTAAAATTAAGAAAAAAAAAAGGATAAGTATATGTATCTGAGCAGCAAAACAACTTGGAAAGCTATACACAAAAGCATTAGCAATAATGTCATTTTCACTTTCTTTTTAGTTTTTTGCCTATATTTTTCCAATGAAAAACCTTTAAAAATTAGAAATTATCTTTAAAAATCAGAAAAAAAGGCTAAAAAGGTAAGAATAAACTGAATCCTGTCACACTATCATACATACCAAGTTTTAAAAAGATGCACTGACCCAATAATCGCACTTCAAAAAATTTTCAAAGGAAATAATGTAGGTGCAAAGACAACATTGTTCATTACAGCATCATAAAGGCAAAAAACTGAAAACCTAAATGTGCAACAATTACAGTTTAAGTAAATTTGGCACAAGTATTTATTGGAATACCTTCATTCCAAAGTGTATATTATTAAATGTAAACTATATTTTGCTAGGTGAAAAAAACAGGATACAACAATACACCATTTTTTTTTAACCAAGAGATAACATACCTAAGCATAGATAAATTACTCAAAGTACATATGGTTTTCCAAAATGTTAACATTTTGAATAGTTGGTACTCATGATTTCAAATATCATCTATGTGGTGATGATTCCCAAATTTTATTTTTAGTCCATAATGTTCCCCCAGAAATCCAGATTCATATATCCAACTATATACCCTTTATTTACAGTCAGATGTCTTAATACGTATGAGACAGTATATTCAAAATGATTTCCTAACCTTCCCTTTACCCCTGAAAAATACCCAATCTGCCCACAGACTTCCCAATCTCAGTTCAGGGCAACTCCATTCTTTCTGTTGTGCAAGCTTGGAGTCATCTTATAATGCACACCAAATCCATCATAAATCATGATGATGCTATATCATCACTTTCTCCTTCCATGCTGAGCACTTACTACTCCCAACATAGTATAAATTTACTTGTCCACTGGTAGTATAAATTTACTTGTCTCCCCACAGAATGTAAATTCAATGAGAGCAGGGACTTTGTGCCTATGGTAGATCCTCACAATGAAGAATAATATACCAGTACCTAACAGGCACTCAATAAATATTTGCTGAATGAATGAATATAATTTCCCATTCTCCATTTCCTCTCAAAGCCTAAAAACACAAATCCATACTGCCCAAAAAGGAAAGCTACTAGTAAGAAGAGAGTGAATTTTTAGGTGGTTCATTTACTACAGTTACTAAGGTACCTTTCTAAATCACTGTAGGTAAAAAGTGTAACAAAAACAAAAATACTTACATAGGCTATAATCCTATTTTTACTAATAAAAGAAAATTCTAAACATAGGAGGAAATAGAAGTGAGATAAAAATAATTTTTAGGGCACCTAGGTGGCTCAGTCAGTTAAGCGTCTGCCTTCACCTCAGGTCATGATCCCAGGATCCTGAGATCGAGTCCCACATCAGGTTCCCTGCTCTGCAGGGAGTCTGCTTCGCCCTCTGCCCCTCCCCCACTCGTTTTCTCTAAGAAATAAATAAATAGATCTTAAAAAATAATAATAATAATTTTTAAATGGGTCACCTTACTTTGTGCATATTGGCACTAGCCATGTGGTAGGCCAGAAAATTGTACCAATACATGCAGTCCTCCTGATCCGGTGAAAGAGTATGTGGCTGGTAATGTTTCTGGAACTGAGTGATTATCTTCTTATGTAAATCCTGAAACCCAAATGAAACATTTTAGAAGACAGAAATAATTTCATAACCTAAGCATCACAGTAACTACAGCTTACAAAGCTATTTAAAAATGTACAGAGAATCTACCCACAAAATACTTACTACAAAAGGAAAAAATTAGTAGCTTTACAGTGGAGAAACTAGCAGGTACCACTTTAACCAAGTGATCAACTTAACATCACTGACAACAAGACATATCAACACCCTGATATGATGCACTGAGGACACAACATGACTTCTGTAGTATTCTTGCCAAAAATATATAACCTTAATCTAGTCATGAGAAACCATCAGACAAACCCAAACTAAGGGACGTTATACAAAATAACTGGCTAGTACTCTTCAAAAGTGACCATGAAAGATAAAGAAAGCAAAGAATTTTCATACATTTGAGGAAACTAAGGAAACATGACAATTATATGCAATATGGGATCTTGATCTGAACCACAAAAAAGGCACTGGGGGAAAGCTAGCAAAATCTAAATAAAATCTGTGGGTTAGTTAACAGTATTCTATCATTGTTAATTTTCTAGATTTGATAACTGTATTATAGTTATATAAGATGTTAACATTGGGGGAAGCTAGATGAAGGTACATGCATAAAACGCTCTATGCTGTTTTGCAACTTTTCTATAAGCCTAAAATTATTTCAAAATAAAAAAATTTTAAAAATGTACAGAGATGCAGTACCTGAAGTTGGTTGCGATTCTTCTCTATAAGGAAATCTACTTGAAGATCATGTAAATAATAACAAAATGATTTTCCATTCCGATCACAGAATAAGAGAGACTTATTAACAAACTCCTGCAGTATGTCTTCAACTTCTTCAGTTTCCATGTCCCAGAGAATACATAACACCTAGAAATCATTTTAAGCATTTAATATACCACAAAACTACAATTACCAGGATTGTAGATAAGGTGTTAACACACACACACACACAAATCATATCTTAAAGCCCTGAATAACAGGGCTTTATTTCTCTTCCATTTCATATGAAAAAGCTCAACTATTCGTCAAGATAGAAAAGAGAAGAAGTCAGATGCTTCTCCAGCCTCACTAGAACTGAGAATAGGAAATAATCTGAGTTCAACACCAAGCCCATGATGGAGACTAAGAGCAGTGGGATTTTTACAGCCCCCCACATACACCTCAGTGACATGGGTCTTAACCTTCCAATATCCTCTCTAACAACATCCTTGGTACTGTATCAAAAGTTACATGCCATAAATATCCAAGGACAAGGATTGTTGGTCCTTCTATTACCTTTGTAGGCACCTTAACATCCTTCTGAAGGATAGAAAGATCTGCGTAATAATCTGTGATGTCCTCTCTGAGCATTTCAACACTTATAGACATGGCTTCATCCAGAGCCTCATAATCGTAGGATGAAGATTTCCTTATTCTCTTAAATTGCTTATTCTGAAGTTGCCTGAGGTAGTAATCCCAACGGTTGGGAAAATCACGTAAAAGTGCACCAATTAAAGACACTACAAGAGGAGAACCTAAAAACAAAACAAAACGAAACAAAAGTCACTGTATTAATACTGTCTCATTTCAAAATTACCACTAAGAGTCCCTTTATTCTTAAAAAAAAAAAAAAATTCTGCTGCATGTTATCTAAAGCCTTAAAATATCTATCACTCTTGGATTCTCTTTAGATATTTATTCTAAGGAAGCCACTAGAAATAAGAAATACTTCCTCTAAGGATATTCATCACAGCATTATTTAAAATAGTGAAAAATCTTAATAACAAATGATTGAATAAATTGAAGTTACCACAGTATTATGCCATTGGTAATTTTTTCAAAAGATACTTAATGACACAAGCAAACGTTCAAGATTTGCTATATGAAAAGGGAAGATTCAAATTGTGTATACCACTGTAATCTCAATATTTTTTTCAAAGTTTTATATGTCTTAAAAGACTGAAAGAAATACTCTTATGGTGCTAATTACCAAATTATGGGTAATTTCTTTTTTTTTTATCGTTTTACACATTTTTTAAATGTTTCAAAAATGGACATGCATCACCTTTATAATGAATACAAACAAAGTATTCTTTTCTAACATATTTCTTAAGTCAGTTAACTCATTTGGAGTGCCTGGGTGGCTCAGTCGGTTAAGTATCCAACTCTTGATTTCTGCTGAGGTCATGATCTCAGGATCTTGAGATCAAGCCCTTGGTGTGGCTCCCCACTGAGTGGGGAGTCGGCTTCCCCCCTCCCTCTCCATTTGCCCCTACCCCCTTGTGCACATGTGCACGCACTCTCTCTCTAATAATCTTTTTTTAAGAAAAGTCAGTTAACTCGGGGCACCTGGGTGGCTCAGTCGTTAAGTGTCTGCCTTCGGCTCAGGTCATGATCCAGGATCCTGGGATCGAGCCCCACATCGGGCTCCCTGCTCAGGCAGGAAGCCTGCTTCTCCCTCTCCCACTCCCCCTGCTTGTGTTCCTGCTTTCACTATCTCTCTCTGTGTCAAATAAATAAAAATCTTTAAAAAAAAAAAAAAAGTCAATTAAATCAAAACCAAGTATCTATTTGATGGCAGAAAGAAGCAACAAGGTCTATTGAAGTATTAACAATAATGGAAGAAGTAATATTAAGAGCTGATAGATGTAACTATATAAAATTTTAAATTTCTGTATGTCAAATAAATACTACAAAAGAAATTAAAAAGCAGACAAAAAACTAGGGGAAAGTATTTGCAAAAATATGGCAAAGAGCTAATAGCTTCAATAGTTAGAATGACTAAAAATCAATTAAAAATACTAATATCAAAGAAAAACTGAGTCAAGGATAATTTCTTAAAATGCAAATATTCAATAAACCAGTAAAAAGTTTAACTTCACTAATAAAAAATGCAAATTAAGAGGATAACACCAGAGGTGCCTGGGTGGCTCAGCTGGTTAAGTGACTGCCTTCGGCTCAGGTCATGATCTCAGGGTCCTGGGATGGAGCCCCACATCGGGCTCCCTGCTCGGCAGGAAGCCTGCTTCTCCCTTTCCCACTCCCCCTGCTTGTGTTCCCTCTCTCGTTGTCTCTCTCTCTGTCAAATAAATAAATAAAATCTTTAAAAAAAGAGGATAACACCAGTTTTTACCTATCAAATTAGAATACTATTTTTATAAAATTCCAACCAAAAAAATGTAAAACTCTGATTCTCACTATATTTTTTATCCTTTGGCAGAAGTCATGTCTTCATCTAACCCTTCCCACTAACATATTATGTGTGTTCATTAAATATTATTTTAATGAATAAATGAATACCAAAATATTATTATCTACTTAGGGTGTCAGAGAAGAACCTAAAATACTAAATATTCTAGTAAAGTTTCTGGATGTTCATGTGCTAAATTATCATATTCAGTAGCTTAATTTACAAAAGGGCAAAATTAGTATCTCTATAATTCCTTCATACACAAAATAACCACACCTTTACATTCTTTTATAATACTGTGAGCTTGCTCTGGCAAATCTGCTTTCTTCATATTAACAAAAAGGGATAAAATTTCAAGTCCTTTTTCTTTTCCTAAGCCACTCTCCACAGAGACTACGTATTTAGGACCTGCAACAAAATCACAAGATATAATCAGTAATTTGGTTTAAGTATATTTAAATCTAATTGAATTAAAACATAAGGGAAGTAAAAAGTAAATTAATCCTTACCCATTACTGAATCTGTAACACTCTTGTCTCTGGTTGTAAGGAGAATTTGACACTGATTGTCAAAAGCTTTTAATACCCAAGGATCCCAAACATCATCCAAGATCAACAGAGACCTGATTTAAAAAAACAAAACAAAACTGTATTGAATCACTAATGACATTTATTATTTTAAGCCTCTTTTAAAGAAGGATAATGTGGGCACCTGGGTGGCTCAGTTGTTAAGCATCTGCCTTCAGCTCAGGTCATGATCCCAGAGTCCTGGGATCGAGTCCCATATCGGGCTCCCTGCTCGGCGGGAAGCCGGCTTCTCCCTCTCCCACTCCCCCTGCTTGTGTTCCCTCTCTTGCTGTGTCTCTCTCTGTCAAATAAATAAATAAAATCTTTAAAAAAATAAAAATAAAAAAGGATGATGTCACCAATGTCTTAAAATTTACAAAATAAAGATGTCTATTCATGGCTCTTCCTCTTTGCTATATTTCTTTCACAATATACTGAATCAAATAAAGAAAAAAAAAATTAGAGACTTTCCTCTCTTCCCACCCCAAAACAATGAATGCATTTTAAAGTTAGGGAACCTATAAAAAGTAAACTGTGTGTACCATGCAGGTGTTAAAAATTGGTTGCCGAAACTTAAAAAAAGTATCAAGTAATGAGATTTTTCTAATTCAGTTTTAAAGCACCAAAACTAAATGAGAACTGGGCTCAGGTTAGCTAAAATCAATCATATAAAAATAATATTTGAGAGATTCCTGGGTGGCTCAGTAGGTTAAGTGTCTGCCTTCAGCTCAGGTCATGATCCCAGGGTCCTGGGATCGAGTCCCGTATCGGGCTCCCTGCTCAGTGGAGAGCCTGCTTCTCCCTCTGCCTGCCGTTCCCCCTGCTTATGCTCTCTCTCTCTGTCAAATAAATAAATAAAATCTTTAAAAAAAATTTAAAAATAAAAACGATATTTGACCATTTTTTACCTACAAAACTAACAATTTCATATGTCCCAACCTGATATAATGCACTAGCAAGAATATTACCCTTCATTTGGTACACTAGCGGGGTTTTTCCCATCCATAAATCAGTTTATTTATTCCTAATGACAAAGAACCTCTGTGCCAATTCTTGATTGGTTTCTCCAAAAACTTTTTTGAACTCAGCAGAACAGATGGAGAAAAAATACAACTAAAAGCTAATAGCATAATTATACACTAGCATTTTTATCCTAGTGGCACACTACTTCTGTGCACTATAAAAAAAAAGATTCTGGGTACACATACAGACTGGAAAATTGCAAAAGTATAAACCAAAATGCTGCTCTGAGAGAAACAAAAAGGATGACTTCATTAGCCATGGTCTGATACATCTGATAGCATTTACAATATTTTCCTAAATAGTAATCACTTTTATTTTCGTAGAGAAGGGAAGCAGGACTAGGGAAAAGTTACTGCACTAGAAAAGAGGTAATATTTAGTGGTTTGAGGCCCCTGGGGGGTTCAGTCAGTTAAGCGCCTCTTGATTTCAGCTCAGGTCATGATCTCAAGGTCGTGAGATCGAGCACCGAGTCAGGCTCCATGCTGGGTGTGGAGCCTGCTTGAGATGCTTTCTCTCTTTCTCTCTCCCTCTGCTCCTTCCCCAGCCCTATCTAACAAAGCAAAACAAAACAAAACATAGTGGTCTAAATCCCATTTCCTCCAGGAAAATCAGTACCAGTGCCTACCAAGCGGAGGGAGCAATAACAGAAGGATTTGGAAGAGAAAGAAGCCAGAGAGAAAAGAGCTTGTCCTCTGTAGAATCACCTAAGAGGCTTTTCCCAAATTACTACTCTCACCGAATATTCTGATATTAATCCCCTTACCAATTTAAGAATCACTCAACCACTGCTACATATGAAAATGTAGTGCATTATCAGCTGCACCAAGGAATTAAAAAAAAACATTGAGAGCCATTACCTAACTCTTACCAGATTTACTGTTGAACACCCAAGGAAGGCTTTATTCATCTTTGTACTTGCAGCACTTGACCCAGAACCTGGCACAACACTCAATGTTGGTTAAATGAACCAATGAAAGAATGGCTGTTAAATCAGGGAGATCAAAATGTTGATTGAATCCCAGGTGATTAACTACTGATGGTTACACTGTTAACAGAAGCAACAACTAATCTACCATCTCCCTTCTGGCTACTGAAAACCGTGAAACAATTGATAACAGTGCCTGGCACATAATTATAATATTTATTGAATGAATTAAAATAAACCCTTGAAGTTCACAGAAGAGTTTTTTATATACATATACATACATATATATATATACACATACACACACACACACCTCCCAAAACTAAGAACACAACAGAAGGGTTCCATTAAATAAATAATCCTTTTACCAGGTGCCTACATTTATTCTGTCTCTTGTTCAATGTTATCCATTAGAAATAACAGATTCAAGGTAAGAAGCCTGCATTTTCTAGCAAAGACCCCTCACTAACTCACCTACTTAAGAAATACTTCTTGAGCACTTCAGTGGTATATAAGAGACAACATGGTAGGTGCAAAGAAAAGTAGCAATTTCAGGCCAGTGGCAGCCATTTTTTAATATAAGACAAAGAAGAACAGAAAAGCAATGCTTCACTCCTAGATCTCTACTGAAGAGCAAGAAAAGATATGATGTTCTTGAAATGTCAGTAGTTAAATCTCATTGGGACTTCATGCACCAACTAAATTTGATTATCTGTACCTTGGGTGTTTGCGCAACATCAGAATGCGAAGACGGTCTTTAGCCTCTTCAATGTTGAGTGGAAGCCTCTGAGAGAAACTCTCATCTTGATCCAACCGTGAGCAAAGATTCTGCAATTTCATCAGAAGTCCAGATTTGTCTTGTTTCCCAACTGAAACCCAGTGCACACCCCCTGGGAAACAACCTAGTGAAGAAAATAGTAATAAACTTAAGGCCTTTGAACAAGAGTCCTCCTTTGAAAGATTTTAGTGATAAGTAGCAGATTTGTTTCAATTTTCAATCTTATCTTCAATTTCTCTTGATTCAGGGTATACATTTTGCTTATGGAGTATTGTTGAACTTTATAACCTGAATCTAAGAAAAGCTGAAGATGTGAAGAAACTGAAGTTTGAAATAAATCTGCTATTTATCAGTAAAATCTTACCAAACAAAAATTTAGTCTTAGTCCTATGTCATCAATGATCGCTGTACAACATAGTTTCTCAGCCTTAGTACTCTTGACATTTTGGGCCAGATAATTCTTTGTTGTAAGGAACTTCCCTATGCACCGCAGGATGTTTAACAGTAGTCTCCCTGGCTTCTACCCACCAGATGCTAATAGCACTCCCCCACTCTGGTTATGACAACCAAAGATATCTCCAAACATTGTCAAAATGTCCCTTTTGGGGCAAAATCACCCCTGACTGAGAACCACTGATATCCAGGAACACATAACTCATTCATTATGGTTCTCATACAGTAACTTAAAGTAAGAAGTTAGGTTCAAGTCTGGCTCTACTGCTTACTAGCTATGCAATCTTTAGCAAATTACTTACCCTCACGTTCACTTATTATACCAGAATACGATTGTTTACCTTACCAATTTCAGAGTTACTGTGAGAAATTAATGATATAACACATGTGAATTTGCTACGTCAACTGTAAGGGTTTATAATAGACAGGATTATTAGTGATATGGATCTGACAGCACCTTGCAAATATTAAGCTCTGAACGAGTAGGCACCATATGAGGATGGACATTATTACCATCAACTGTTATCATCATTATCATTGTTAATTAAGCCACAGTATATCGTAAAATACATATTTTTACTTACATAGGTATCAAGAGCCAAAATCTTAGGCCTTCAAAAACTATACTTCATCAGTTCCCCGCATAAATACAAAAAAATGCTAGAGGGGTCCCTATGTGTAAAATTCGGTGAGCAGTAGCATTATTAGAACATACCAGTGTCATTAACCATAAATATTTATACCATGTGATTGTAAATAGTATAAGAAAAAGCAAAAACTAAATAAAAGATAAATGAGTTATAATATACCAAAGGGCAATTTATTTACTGGTATTCACAAATAATTAACTACAAAAATCACTATTTTAAAAGTTTAATCATCCAAAAGAAAGATTTGTGTATATGCAAAGACTTATTTATGACATATTTATTGAGCACTATTCTAAGAGTTTTACATATTAATCTTTATTTAATCCACATATTAAACTATCAAGCAGACACTATTTTTTATTTTTTAAGTAGGCTCTACGCCCAGCAGGGAGCCCAATGTGGGGCTCAAACTCACAACCCTGAGATCAAGACCTGAGCTGAGATCAAGAGACAGACACTTAACTGACTGAGCCACCGAAGTGCCCCACAAGCAGACACTATTATTATCCCCATTCTACAGAGGAAACTGAGGTATAGGAAGGTTGAGTAATTTGTCCAAAGTTACAAAGATAATAAAGCAGAGCTGGGATTCAAACTCCAGCCCAATGCTCAACTTCTAAACTATTCTGCCTCCTCAAGGATATTCACTGCAGCATTGTTTGCAACAGGAAAAAGCTGGAAACAACTTATAATGTCCATCTTAACCACTTCTTCCCAAGCCTGAGGCAGGCCCAACTGAGGAAGGAGAAAACCTTATACATAAATGAGGTTTGGAGTATTAAATAGGACTTGACATTTTAATTACTGAAATGAAGATTGTTGGAATGCAAACTGGTACAGTCACTGTGGAAAACAGTATGGAGATTCCTCAAAAAGTTAAAAATAGAACTACCCTGTGGCGCCTGGGTGGCTCAGTAGGTTAATCGTCTGCCTTCAGCTTGGGTCATGATCCTGGGGTCCTGGGATTGAGCCCCACATCGGGCTCCCTGCTCAGTGGGGAGTCTGCTTCTCCCTCTCCCTTTGCCCCCCCCATGCTCGCTCTCTCCCTCCCTCTCTCTCAAATAAATAAAATCTTTAAAAAAAGACATAGAACAAGGGGCGCCTGGGTGACTCAGTCGTTGAGCATCTGCCTTCGGCTCAGGTCATGGTCCTGGGGTCCTGGGATCGGGCCCTGCATTGGGCTCCCTGCTCCGCGGGAGGCCTGCTTCTCCCTCTCCCACTCCCCCTGCTTGCATTCCCTCTCTCACTGTGTCTCTCTCTGTCAAATGAATAAATAAATAAAATATTAAAAAAAAAAAAAATAGAACAACCCTATGATCCAGCATGGCACTACTGGGTATTAACCCAAAGAATACAAAAACAGTAATTCAAAGGGATACATACACACCTATGTTTATAGCAGCATTATTTATAATAGCCAAGATACGGAAGCAGCCCAAGTGTCTATTGATTAACGAATGGATAAAGATGTGGTATATATACACAATGGAATATTATTCAGCCATAAAAAAGAAATCTTATCATTTGCAATGACATGGATGGAGCTAGAAAATATAACACTAAGCGAAATAAATCTGAGAAAGAAAAATACCATAGGATTTCATTCATATGTGGAATTTAAGAAACAAAACAAATAAGCAAAGGGAAAAAAAAAAAGAGCAAGACAAACAAAGAAACTGACTCTTAACTACAGAAAACAAACTGATGATTACCAGAGGGGAGGAGGAGAGGGGATGAGTTAAATAGGTAATGGGGATTAAGGAGTGCACTTGTCCTGGATGATGTATGGACTTATTGAATCACTCTATTGTACACCTGAAACTAACATAACCCTGTAAAAAATAAAGTCACACAACGAAAAAAAGTAAATAAAAAGATAAGTGTGGGGGTGCCTGGGTGGCTCAGTAAGCTAAGCACCTGCTTTCGGCTCAGGTCATGATACCAGGGTCCTGGGACTGAGCCCCACATCAGGCTCCCTGCTCAGCAGGAAGCCTACTTCTCTCTCTCCCACTCCCCCATTTGTGTTCCCTCTCTCACTGTCTCTCTCTCCATCAAATAAATAAATAAAATCTTTAAAAAGAAAAGGGGAATAAATAAATAAAGTCTTAAAAAAAAGTTAAGTGCACTTGTAATGAGCACCAGGTGATGTACAGAATTGTTGAATAACTGTATCATACATATGAAACTAATATAACATTGTATGTTACCTAACTCGAATTAAAATGAAAACCTTAGGGAAAAAAAAGAAATTAGGGGCACCTGGGTGGCTCAGGCAATTTAGCGTCCAACTCTTGATTTAGGCTCAGGTCATGATCTCAGGGTCCCGGGATCAAGCCCCCACATCAGGTTCTGCACTCAGTGCAGAGTCTGCTTGAGATTCTCTCCCTACTCCTTCCCCCACTCGCACATATGTGCATGCTCTCTCTCTCTCTCTAAAATAAATAAATAAATCTTCCCCCCCCCCCCCCCCCCAATTAGATTGTTTTTAAAACCTGAAATGACCTGGGGACTCTGAACCTGTACAAGGCCGGGAGAAGAATCAGTGCCAGGGAAGTTTTAAACAGGCAATAAGGGAAAAAAGTTTTTTCCGATTACACCCTACAAACCTCAATGCAATGGTTATACATCCAGTAACTAAACCTAATAAAATTGTCAAGGTTTATGATTATGAATTTAAATTGGAATTCAGCTGGGTGATTTTCTCCAGCAAAGAGGAAGCAAGTAACTGTCCAGATGAAGCAATGGGGAGTAAGTGAGTAACTGTCTGGATAAAGCAATGGGGAGTAAGCAATTAGATTCCATCTCCTAGCATAGAGAAGGAAGCAGCATTTACCCAAGTAAGGAGAAACTGAAGAACCAAGAGCATGTGCAACGAAGCAACCGAACAATGGGTGATAAAAACCTAGGCCTGAGCCTAAGAGGGGGCTGATGAGAAAAACAGGATATTATAGAATCAACAGGTAAGTCTTGATAGGTGAGAAAACTGTAGTAGTGAACTTGAACAGAATAGGTGGAGATGGGCAAAGAGTAGAAGACTCTAACATTGAGATTTCAAAAGTGGTATCATTTCTGGTATTGAGAACGACAAGGGTCCAGTCTGTGATCAGGAAGTATACGGATAAAGGGAAGTAAAGAAAATGGTTACTGCAGATAAAGACATCAAGAAACTGAGAGGCCAAGGTTTTGGATGACTCATCTACAGAAATATGGATATCTTACTAAGAGTGTCAACAGAAGAACTTAAATTTATAACTAAGAGCTTCAATCAACAATGAATGAGAGCAATACCATAACTGGGAAAGATCAGAGAACTCAACCTCAAAGGACAGACTTTAGCTGGAGAAGGGAGTATTAATGGTCTGGATGAGGCAACGGAAAAGCATGGACAACATCCACCCATTTCCTTGAGCTGAAATATGTGGGATGTAAAGGAAAAAAAGTTGCCATACCACGGAGGACAGCTACGGAGAATGTGGTATCCTCTGAGAATTGTCCAATTTCAGATAAGGAAGGAGATAAACGTTCCAAGAACAGGTTGATAAGATAGAGGAGTACCTTGATCACAGAGAAGGAAATCTAGAGGGTAAGACAGAAAAGTTTGGGAATGAGAGGAAGAAACCTAGATCACAACTGACAATGTACTGAGTACTAACTGCATAACAATCTAAAAAATAACAAATGACCAGGAAACAGAGAACTCTGCAGGAACTAAGGTAAAGATAGTGCTGTGAAGCATGGTTTGATTATCACTGAAAGCTTCTGGAAGTTCCCTTAGACTTCCTTCAGTGTAAGTCAACATTTATGAAATAGTAAATCCCTTAGGTTTCCCGTAGTGTTATACCTGTGTGCTTTGTGTGCACAGGTTTGTAAATGCAAAGGAAAAAAGCTTGGAAAAATTCACTCTAAACTGTTAACCATGATTACTTGGATTTAGAATTTAGGAGAAAAGGAAGAAAGGCAGGTGAAAAGAATTTTTACTTCTTTCTAAATGAAAATACATTTGTAATTTTTTTTAAGATTT